AAAAGTTTGAATTTTCTTAGAAAAGTATGAGTATCATGAATACCAATATCAAGAAACAAAAATCTTTTATTTATAGTTACTACTTTTTTTAGCTAGCATTTAAATTATTTTGTCCATAAGAAATTGGTAATCATAAATAATGATTCCATATAATCATAATATGGACCACAAACTTTAATAATGACGTCATAATAATAAATTTCATATGACTAAGAGTATCATAATATAATATAATTCAAATTATTCTCATCTGAAATATTTTGACAAAGTGATATGCTTCTCAATATTACAAATTCGATTGATTGGGAAAAGTATTAAGACAAATAACTTTGAAATCATTGCAACAACCAAAATAGTTAATGATTTGCAAACAACAAGTTAGGTAGTTTGTCAATCTTTTAAATAAATAACACTAAAAAGAGAATGTTCGATTCTGATCAAAATGTTTTTGAATGTTTGAGTAAGTTGTCACTTTTTAATAGGAATATTTACAATCTTAATTTTGTATTGTGCTCGAGAATATGCGCAATTACTTTAGAGTATGTACTTCATGTAATATGATGATAATAAAAATAGTTTAGCATCTTTTTGAAGAAGTACATGATTTTGAAAAATCAACTTTTATTTAGAAATAAAATTCGTTCTCACCTTATATGATAGATACCAATTTGTCTATATGGGGAGAGAGAAAGAGAAAGAGAGAGAGAGAGAGTAATGTAGTAGTTTATACAATGATCAAAAAAATCACGAATTTCAGTGACACGGTTGGTTATTTCACATAGATAATTATGAAATGTTAGTTGAAATATCTTATAATGATCGTTCAATTATGAAGTTTGACTATATGTTTGGCTAAAGTATTTATAAGTGTTGAATAAAGTAGACGTTTTACTAATTAATTAAGAATAATTTTGCAATACTATTGATGTATTGGACTCCAATGAGTATGAATGTTTCTTATGAGAACTCAAAACTAAAATGAAAAAAAAAAAATGACTCTCGAACATTATAAATAGATAAATAACTCATGCATCTATAATATACATTAGATCCTTATTTATTATTATTATTATTATTATTATTATTATTATTATTATTATTATTATTAGGGACTTATTTTCTTATATATTTTTGTTTGAGTTTGTAACATGTTATTTAAATCTTTTTATGTTACGACATCATTATGTTGTTTTTAACAAAAAAATTATATTAAGAGTTTATTTGTTCTATATTTCATTTTGTTCTTGCAATCATATATTTAATAAATTAATTGATTTATCTTATCGACCAAAAATATTTATCACCACGTGCATTGCACGTGCACTTTACTAGTCACCAAAACATGGTGTGGCCTACTAAAGGAAAGTAGAAAAGTAAATGCATCAACTGAGTTTCTATTTTTTACAATGTGACTGTGACCCAGCAATCCGTATATATAGCACATGAAGGCCATGTTACTCTTGCCTTGAAAAAAAAA